AGGGTGTGGACTTTATGTCTCCCTTTTATCAGTGGGCTGCACCCAAAGTATTTGAGCTCAGCAGCCCAGTCCTCTGGTGCTGAAGCAGGTGGTGAAAAGCCCCTGGCTGTCTGCTCCAGTCTTCTCCAGCTGAGCAGCAAGGCTCAAGTCCACACACTGAGTGCCCAGGGCCATGGGGATTCAGTCCAGCAAAGCCAATGCTCCTGGAAACTCAGGTATGACTGGAGACAGTGTTTGTATGAGATTTCAGAACCTCAACCAGATCTCTCTTCTTTCTGTGTTGGATAGAATGTAAATTCAACAGAAATATAATGGGATCACCAATCTGGAGTGCTTCACATCCTTGGTAACTGACCTTTGCCTGTGCTGTCCTCCACCTGCCCTCTGCTCCAGCACATACTTAGGTATAGCATGGCTTCAGATTTTCTCACATTGTGGGATAGGGTGAGATCATTTCAGTCTCATTTGTCCTCTCTTAAAGTGAAAGCTCTTACCTGACAGACCTAATCTCCATGTGGGAGTTTAATCAAATGCTAAGTATGGGAATCCAAATTGTGGATTTGGAGATAAGAAATATCTACCAGATGGGTGCATGGACCTGGTGAAACCCTATGTGGTCTACTTCAGCCAGGAGCCTCCAATCTTTAGTCCCACTTACTGACACTGTAACGGGGGTCAGAGTAGTACGGTATCAAGGAGGCTCAGAATCTGTGTTCAGTGGTCCTCATTCCTCTTCTCCCCAGTGTGCTGCAACCCAGGTGAGGAGAGAGTGGCCCCTCCATGGAAAGACTAAGATAACCCTTACCGTACATGGCTTCTATGGTGCTGCAGACCAGCTCTCTGGTCCAGGAAAATTTCAAGTCTAAAATTAGAAATTGACAAGGGGGCATGAATTTCTCTAGATAGACATTTGCCTTCAAATTCCCTTTTACTCTATCCTTGATTTATTATTTATATCAGCTGAGTGATGCTGTTTATTTTCTGACCACGCTTTCTTTTTCTCCTGAAAACACTGTGCTCTGGGGTTGTTCTACTTAACTCTCAGAAACTCAGAGTCCCTTCACATCCTTCATTATTTTTCAATTATGATTGAAATTGAAATTGTCAGGGCTTGTGTTGCACATACTCTCCAGCTGCCCGCTTCCCTGAGCCTTTCATCCTATCTCACTCATCTGCCATGACTTCCCTCAACATGGAAAATCACTTTTCCCTGTGTATATCAAATACTAAAGTAACAAGTCTGCATAAACATATGTTCTTCAAATTATTCTAACTTCTTTTAGCACACTAACTTTTCTGATACTTCTATCCCTCAAATGGAATAAATGTAAAGACTTTTCCACCTTTGATTTGTCTGTTTTCTGTGAAAATAATTATTTAGTATTCCAACTCACTTCAGATTTCACTCACTTGTTCTTATATGTCTTTCAGGATGCTCCACTTTGCTTTTCCAGTAGCTGAGAATACCTGCTGCCTATCACACTTCCAGCTCTACCCTCTTTCCTGTGAATAAACTAGTTCAGATTGGTGCTCTTTATCATTTATTCCCCCAGCACACAAATGAGATTATGTACACATCCCTTGAAAAATAAGTAAAATATAATAAAAAAGAATATCGAAAGATATAATAATGATTTAAGTTTTCAAAGAACAAATGGTATTCACATATAAATACACATATATTTGATTTCTTGGATAGTAAAGGAAAATGCATATACTATAAGATAGAAGAAAAAAGTGTCCAGTAGTTCCTATTAACTATTAAAATTGACTCAGAACTATTTAGGCAAATTTGACACATAATCAAATGTCAGGAAGTGTGTTTAGCCTATCCCCCAAAGCTGCTTGCTGTCTTCTCAGGGAGTACTCAGCAGCTATTGGCTCTATTTGTTTGCACTCAGCAATCTTGTTCTAATTGTGCCCAATAACTATTAAACTGTGCCTTTCCGCACAATGTGTTTTTCTCTTTGCTTTTATCCTTTATTTCCTTCCATTTTTTGTATTCATACATTTTAGAAAAAGTTCTGTACTTCACCCACCAGTGAGATTTAAAAATTCCTCACACCCTTTGAAGGAAAAAACCCCCTGAATTTGAAGTCATTGTATATGAAGGCAATTATGTATTATGGTTGTGTTCCCTTCCTTGCTGTGCTGGGAATACAGCTCAATAGAATGTTGGAAAATTCTCGTTACACTTCCTGGCAATCATTTGGGGTGATTCTTTGTGTTTTGCTGACTTAATTTTCTCATTGTTTTCATTGAGTTTATGACTTTGGCTGCTGTGATTAGAGACAAGAAGAATAGGCAGGATCTCAAAAACAGATTTTAACGAAGATTAGAGAAGACCAGCATTCATTTCAACTTCCAGTAATGTTGTGTACTCTGTCGCACATGCTAATTCAGAAATCTTTATCCTAGTGCCAGGCAGTGAAATGAATATCCTACCATGAATATTCATGATTGCATTGAGAAGGGAAAGTTGTACAGCACTCAACTTCTTCTAGTAACTTTCCTAAAACTGCTCCTGCAAGGCCTTCCAAAGCTGTGATTACTAGAGAAGTTTACCAGTGAATTTAGGGGAAGGTAGATTTGATATTCTACTGGTTCTGTGACTTTAAAACATAGTTTCTCCTTATTTTAATCTTTTGGAGTGAAGTGTAAGCATCGTTTCCTATGGAGAAACAACAAGTTTTGTAGACGAAACTAATAAAAGTATGTTGCTTCATTCTTCATTTCCATCAGCAGGTAGGAAAGGCTTCCTGGAAAATTAAAAATTAAAAATTAAAACTTGTCTTTGCCAGTTTGAAGAACAAAGGGGAGAGTTATTCTGTTTCCTTCCAAATACTTTGAGGCAGTAATCATCAGCCATGTAGATTCAAAGTGATATCTTCAAACAGGAAGGCAAAATGAAGGGATTTTTAGGAAAATGTGATGTACATTTGTTTCCTCTGACTCATTCCTCTTTGAAGACAGCTGTTTGTTCATTTACTGTCTGACTCAGAACTCTTGTCTCATGACAAGAGATAAAAAAATGAAAAAAGTTTTGTCTTATTTCACAGAAAGACTATTGTTAAGAAAAAAAGGTACTTCATAAGGTACTACAAGTAGTACCTTCTACTTCTTTTCAAAGAAGTCAACAAAAGATGACCAGAGTAATCCATCATATTCTTCTGTTAAAAAATGGGTTAAGTAGGGGTAAGGCTGCATTGGTGAAATGTTACTAAGGCTATTTATTACCTATTCCACACTTTGTATAAAAATACTGAAGCTAGAAAGAAAAATGTCACCCTGTCTTTGTAGGTTACCATTTCAGTTACTCAGTAAAAATGGTGCTATGTGAGGCATAGGTTATTAGATGAATGGGAAAGACAAACTGAAGTATAGACTAACCAAGTAACATTTTTAAATGTAATTTTTATGGATATTCAGAACTATAATTGCAGAGGAAATCATACTACATTCACTTAACATGGAAGGAACAATGTATAATATATTCTGCATTGTTATTTATTATGCAATTGGCAATTTCCAAAAAGAAAATTATATGAGTATAATTAAATTTGGATATTAATATGGATTTCTGTGCTAAGACCTATAAAATGTAATCAAAAAGACTCCTATCTTGGAATTATATTTCATTATTAAAAATTGTAATCTTCTGAAAGCCAAATTTCATATAAATTTTTACCATATCATTTTTTCCTAAATTTTCCTTAGTCCTTTCTTATTAATTCAAGGTTGAGGTTCTCTGTATAATTGGCTTATCATTCAATCCCCTGGTCATTAATTATCTAAATAAAAGGCTTATAATGTATGACTCAGAGATATTTTCCTTGCTACTGTTTGTCCAGGAAAAAGCTTTAGCATATGTTGTTTTGAGATTGATTGGGTGACTAGAAGATTTTTGGAAGTTAACAAGAAATCATTTCTTAACAATAGCCTCATTTTGACACTAAGTACCACAGAATATTGCACTGAGACTCATGGGACCAGAAGAATAACATAAAGTGAGTTAGTAAGAAGGCTCTTTTGTAAACTAAGACTCTGAATTTAATTTACACATCACTGAGCCCCAGAACATCTCCAGATGGAATGGCTTTACCTCTTCTTCATTGCTGAATATGTTTTATTGAAATTGGGAATCAGGTGGCCCTTCCAATAGCTACTGAACAATTCAGTGAGATGACTAAGTAGATGACTAGTGCATTATCATCTTGATTTTCTTTAAACTGAAATGCTTCATTGTCTTTAGGAAGGACATCCCCAGTCTTTGCATGAACTTTCCAGACTGGGACCACAGTTTGGTCTTACAGAGCTGCAATCATTCCAGTTCTTCCTGTGTCACATTTTGTGTTTGGTGAAACCCTCTTATGGAGTTTCAGAACGCCAGAATTCTGACCTGATGGGAGAGAAAGTATTTTTAGACTATTAGCTTATATCCAATATGGAAGGTTGCATATGGTACCAGTTTTCCAACACTGACAGCAACAGTTTCAAATAACACAGTAATATTTATTACATAGGGGTAAAAAGATGAATTTAATGATTTTTCTATATACTGGTTCTTAAAGAAGAGCACCAAAAGGTTTTATTTCTCCTTTTTTTTTTCTATTTTCATTCTCAGTAATGCTGTTTTGTTTCTTCCACATCTTCTATAGGTTTATTTTATTCTACTGTTTCCCATCAATGCTTATTTCCTTTCCACAATTATATCTTCCTTCACATGCCTATAACCATTGTAATTTCCCTTGGAGATCTGACTATTGTTAGTAGGATGATAAAGTCATTGTAAGCCAGTGACTACTTTCATTATAAGAAAATATTAATGAGAATAATGTCATCTTTATTCTTTATTTCTTTTGTTAACCTATTTTTTTCTTTATCTACTTACTGTCTTACAATTGGAAATCAATGACTCAGTATGGAATGAGTTTTAAAATAAGTTGCTGCAGCCTGGTTTTTTTACTAAGTGCAGTTTTACTCTTTCCTGTTTTGCTGTCTCTTCCTTTGGTTGTCCAGCCTCCTGCTGCTCATGGACACTGATAAACTCTGGTGTCTTTAGAAGCCTTGAAGGTAGAATTCACCTTGTGGAATATTTTAAAACGTTTCTTCAAAGTTTTATGATTGTTTCCAATGTAAAGAATGTGGCTGTCCTAGAGCAGAGAAAGTACGTGGGAGAGAGAATGGAAGATATGTTTGTGAGATGTAGACTACTTTGAATAAAGAGGAGAATAATAAAAGTAGAATTACATTCTCTGCCTTGTGATCAGGGTGGTTGACCAACAAATAATGCCAAATAAATATTAAACAAGCAATTTTTCTTAACTCGCGTCCTGCATGTGGACATATTGTCTGTAGTACCACTGAATCAGACACCCTCTGCTGCAACATGCCAACCATTATTCGCTAGGTTCACTGCCCCTAGTGCGTGGATTTAGCGCCTTCACTGTGCATTGCACACGTGGTGGCACGGCTGGGCCTTCTGTGTGTGACCCTCTGTGTGTGTCCCCATGCCCCCGGGGAGCCTGCCTCTCTCCCAGGCCCAGCGTCGTGCCAGGTAAAGAGTACGTCACGTCTGAAAAACCAGTGAATCCATCTGGACAATTAAGTTAAACAGAAATGCATCCTGTGATTTTTTAAATTTTACTTTGCTTATTTCGTGTTATGCAGTTGCAGCCCAATTCAACATAGTACTAGCTTGTTTTCAAATCTTATTTGTATTTTGTGTGAGCAAAAAACAGTGACTGTTTAAATTTGATATAATTATCACAGTAAAAGACAAGCTGTCACGAACCCTTCTTAATATATTCCCCATCATTTCCACCCATCATCCCACCATGGTTCCACTTTCTGAGCAGTTCTGGAAGTCTTCTCTTGTCAGTGTCTTTAAGAGGCATGATAAAAAATACAGTGAATGCTGCTACTGAGTGCCACACAGGAAACACAGGCTTGTAAATATTTGGTGGCGTGTCCTCAGCCACCCTCTCCACCAGGTCTGCAACTTCCAGCTCTTCCCTAAAGTCAAAATGACCATGAAAAGTAAATGTTTACAATCAGTTCAGGACATCAAGGCAGCCAGAACAGACAGTACAAATAAAGATATCCAGAAAAGAGGGCTTCTAGAACTATTTCAGAAAGTGGCAAGAATGATGGGATTGTTTTTTAAGCAAATGGGAATATATTGAGGAGGATTAATTTACTGTAATAAATGTTTTATTTAAATAGTCATCCTATTTATCAATCACACCACACGTATGTTTGGTACTGTTGAAAAACGTATTTGTTTTACCTTTATCTTAAATTAAGCTGAGTATGGACATCAACTGGTGCTGTTTGTGTGCACAGAAATATAAAGCTACTAATAGTCAAAATAGCTTACAAAAATTTAGCAGTTTAAGAAATTTGATATTGGAGAAAATACCATAACAATAATAAAATATACATAATCAGAAAACCTTTAGATTCTTAATTATAGCCAAATTTTATAGTACTGTCATAGAGATTGTAAAAAGCATATCTGGAACTGAAAGGGGAAATTGTATCAAAATATATAAGATTTATGCTTATGGATCACTCTGGCAACAAAAGGAATTTCAAAATGTTTTATCAATGCTCAAAATATAGAAAAATATGTAAATTTAGTTTTATTCAAACATTTACTGTAACTGAAAGCATTATATATTACAAAATTTTGCAAAGTTATTTCAGAATACATAAGGAATTATATTTATTTTAGTTTAGAAAAAACCTACATTAATATATTAATCCAATCAATCTGGTAAGAAAAATAGGCAGAATAAATGGCTATTAAAATGAAACAGCTATAATTTTTAAAATTTTAAAATTATTTTAAATGTATGTATTGCATAAGTTATTTTAAGCATGTACACTGCAGATAATATCGTATTTCCTAAAATTTATCTGGAAGAAATAAAGTATATAACTGAAGTTACATTTATTAAATATATTGAAATACATTTATTTCAAGCTAGCTAAGAACATGCTAAGCTTTGAGTACAAAACACAAAATGAAATGCACAGCTCTTTTGCTTTTATGTAAATAGCTTTCAAGCAAGAAACTTTATTTTCCCTTGCAAAATTACAGTGTTTATAGATGTTAAAAATTTTATTTTTATATAAAAAGCTTAGACAAGAACCACAAACAGTGTTGTAGATTTTGTTTCTTTCAAGAAATTTGTGATCAGGTCTTGCAAATTTTGAATTTTCTAATATCTCTAGTTTAACTCTGTTAATTCTTTGATAATTTCATAGCTTCTAACTTTAGAGGTCATTTTAAATTGAAGTTACTGCTAACTGTATCCACAGCTTTATAGAGATTCTTGAATGTAAAACTCAATGATGCAGTTGGAGGCATCTAATTTTCCTAAGAAATCATTTGAAATATAATTTCATTAAAAATTATATCACTGTGACTCCACACCCAAATTTTTTTAAACGCCTGGACCACAGAAGGGATTTAGTTAGCATTCAGTTAAAAAATTCAGTAATTTTTTATTCTTATGAATCTTAATTATAGTTGTACCATTGCTTATGTAAAGAAAAGCTAGTTTAATATTATGATAGAGTATATATGGGTAATATATTTCGATTCATATAATTAAACTGGTATATAAATATTACAGAGAATTTTTAAATATTTATACAAAGATACAAATTCAGTCTTTTAAAAACTGATGAAGCAGGAAAACTTGAAATTGTTCATAAAATGTTTTGAAGAATTATGGCATACTAAGTTTGACATTGAGTCACTATATATCTTCCCTCAGTACAATAGGTGCTGACATATTTAGACATTGTTTTTTTAACAATTAGTAGTTCAAGTTGTAGAACAATTTTTAAAAAACATAAAAAGTGGAAATGTTCTTCCACGCATCTTTTCATTTTGAGCTTATTTTGATTTTATTGTTTTGTTTGCTTTGATGTCTGATCAGGTCACTATGTAACTTTCATTCTTACTGACAAAAATCTTTATTTCTTCATTCTAGCCTAATTGTCCCATTCTTGCAGGTGTAAGATTGATTATTGAATAATTGTGTAATGTTAACAGGGCAATAATAACAATCTAAATTTTGAATATAATCGTTTATCCTGAAGGGCTTGTGAATTGGTCCTCTTGAGCGCCAGCACCCTGGGCCCCTGGGATGCTCACCACCAACCGCAATTCTCCTTCCAGGTGAAGTTTTTCTGAGTAACTGGATATACAACCGCACAGGGAAATAAGCAGGACCCACATAATAATCAACCTGGCCAGTCATTTACAAATGTAAAGATTGCTACATATTACTTCTAAGAACACAATATTCAACCATTATAATGAAGCATCAGTGAAAATATTGGGTTGACTAAAATAGCAGATACAGACACCACAGTGGTAAATCATAAAGCTTATTCTGAATAAAAATAATTCAGAACAAAATTAATTGTATTTTCATACAGGATGTGCACAGCCTATAGGAAAGAGTACTTATTAAAGGATTTCATTTCTTGAGGTCATTTAACAAGCATATTTGATTTATCTACAAAAAATCTGAACGACAATGGCTAGAGGAGGGGTGGGAATGAGGATTGATTAGGGAAGGCGCCTGGGAACATTTGGGGTAACAGAAACAATTGGCACCTCGATGTGCTTGGATTTTCAGGACATACGGACTTGCATACAAACCAAACATTTTTATGAAACATTTTCAAATATAGAAACAAACACAGAAATTTGATTATGGTGAGCATAAAACAAGAGTTAGGGAACGCTGACACTCCACCCTGGCTGTCACAGTGTGCTACGCTTTAATAAAAGTTTACTTGGAAACCTCCTCTAGCTTTTCCCCTTGCTCTGCTGTTTGTCTTGGCTCCTGTTGCTGACCCGTCAGCAAATCCTGTGGGCCCAGAGCTGAGACTCCATCACCGTCAGTGACTTTATTTTTTAATGAATTTTATTGGTACATTTTAGGTATACAATATAATGACATTCATCATTGGAAATTTGCACCTTTACATAATCTCTCTTGGTTCTTATTTTTTCCCTATTCCCCTGCCCTCCCTTCAACCCCTCCATCCTTCCCTATTTACAAAGATTTTGTTTACATTTTTCCATTTTCTCATAGTAATTCCTTTCTCTTCTTTCCTTTCCCCTACCCCTTCCACTTGCTTCCCCTTTGCCCTTTTTCTTCCTATTTCACGTTATCTATTATACCTTTTAGTCCTTATTTACACTTTCAGTTTCTCATACTAGAGAAACTATTTGGTATTTACACTCATGTCCTATTTATTTCATTTAAGAGTATCGCCTCAATGTGGATCCATTTAGCAATAAATGTCTCTAATTTCTCATTTTTATGGCTGAGTAGTACTCCTTTTTATAGAAAAACCACATTTTCTTTATCCAGTCTCCAGTTGATAGGCATTTGGGCTGCTTCCAAGTTTTAGCTATTACAAATTGTGCTGCTATGAACATGGGTTCACATATATCTCTGTGGTATGATTCTTTTAACTCTTTGGGGAAGATATCCAGCAGTGGAATAGTGGGGTCAAATGGGACTTCCAGTCCTAGTTCTTTGAGGTATCTCCATACTGATTTCCACAGTGATTGCACCAGTCTACACTCCCACCAGCAGTGGAGCAGGGTTCCTCTTTCCCCACAGCGCTGCCAGCATTTGTTATTTGTTGATTTCATGATAGCAGCCATTCTTTCTGGGGTGAGGAGGAATCTCAGTGTTGTTTTCATCTGCATCTCTCAAATGACCAGTGATGTTGAACATTTTTTTCATGTGTTTATTTGCTATTTCTACTTCTTTGTCTGAGAAATGTCTGTTCATTTCAGATGCCCATTTTTGGATTGGGTCTTTAAATTGGGGAGGTCTGATTTTTTTAAGTTCTTTATAGATTCGAGATAGTAGACCTTTGTCTGAGGAACAGCCAGTGAAAATTTTTTCCCACATTGTGGGTTGTCTCCTCACATTGTTGGTGGTTTTTCTTGCTGTGCAGAAGCTTTTTAATAAGAAGAGATCCCACTGGTTGATTGTGCTAGTTCACGGGCAACTGAGGTTTTGTTCATAAAGTCTTTTCCTATGCCAAGGTCTTCAAGAGTTCTACCTAACCTCTGTTCCAGATGGTTCAGCATTTCTGTTTTAATATT